TTACTGTGAAAATTTTTTTGGATCGGTTCAAAATTGGTCATAGCTCCCATACAAGGTCCCCTCCCGAAAATCACTTAAATGCGCATAACTCATTACTAAATTAAGATATCCATACAAAATTTGGTACAAGTATTGCACATATACGCGGAAATATTACTGTGAAATTTTTTTCCGATCGGTCCATAATTGGTCATAGCTCCCATACAAGGCCCCCTCCCGAAAATCACTTAAACGCTCATAACTCATTACTAACTATAAAGTTTGGCAGAACTATTGCTCATATACAGAGAAATATTACTGTGAAATTGTTTTCCTATCGGTCCATAATTGATCATAGCTGCTGTGCCTTTCAGAACACACTTAAAGGCACATAACTCATTAGGAAATAGTGATACCCATAAAATATTTGGCATTAATACTATTTTTGTACACATAAATGTTATTTCAAAATTTTTTCACGATTAGTCCAACCTTGGTCATAGCTCCCATACAAGGTTCCCTCCCGAAAATCACTTAAACGCACATAATTCATTACCAAATATTGATATCATACATTTAGCAAAATTATTGCTCTTATATACATAAATTACACTATAAAATTGTTTTACGATCGGTCCATATTTGGTCATAGCTCTCATACTAGGTCCCCTCCAGAAAATCACTTAAATGCACAATATTCATTACCAAATAATGATATACATAGATACAGAATTTTGAAATTTTGTTTTTATATATAATTCGTCATAGCTCTCATACAAGGTCCTTTTACGAAAATCTCTTAAACGCACATTACTCATTACCAAATAAAGCTATTGATACAAAATTTGCCACAAATATTAGTTTTGTATACAAAAATTCTATTTCAAGATTTCTCACGATCGGCTCATAACATGGGTGCGGTCGGTCCCATACAAGGTTCCCTTCCGAAAATCACTTAAACACACATTACTTATTACTAAATTACGATATAGATATAAAATTTTACTGAAATATAGCTTTTATGTACAGAAATTTTGCTTAAAGAATTTTTTACGATCGGACTATAATTGGTCATATCTAGGTCCTGCCCCTGAATTGATAAACATAAATAAAAATACAGCTTGGAAAAGACTAAATTCAAAAATATTTAATGTTAATGTAAAATTAATGCATTAATTTCAAAATATTTAATGTTAATGTAAAATTAATGCATTAAATTCAAAAATATTTAATGTTAATGCAAATTTAATGCATTAAATGTACCAATGTTAATGCAATAAACTTGCATTAACATTAAATTTTTTTAATGGTGAAAAAATTGTTAATGCATTAACATATTTAATGCATTTATCCCAGGTCTGGTCTATGTTAACCTTATGTGTACGCTAAAGATCGCAATTTTCAAGATAATTTGATAAAAAAAATGGTTGAAATTGGTCCATTATTTCACATAGACCCCATACAACCGTACAACCCACCGAATAGTGCTTTTTCAGCTCATAATTCTTTTAAATGTACTAGTATCTCTACAAAAATCGATATAACTTAGTTTTGTATAATGTCTGACTCTGCAGACTTTCGTAATGTTCGGATCTCATTTGACGCTAGACCCCACAGAAAATGTCATGAAGATCAATAGTTCACTTATAAACAGTATATAATCCATATACCAACATAAATAAGTATAGACCCACATTTACCGCTGCGCCCGTATAATGCCGCTTTAAAAAAACACTTCTTTGTCAACAAATAGTTAATATATTTCGGAATTAAGGTAAAAAAACTATTTTAATGCGATATTATTATTAATAATACACCTTTTTAACATACATATTATGTACCACTCATTGGTGGACATTATATGAAAACTTTGACCGATCCGTTAAAAATTGCGCTGAAGAATTATAGTGTAAGTAATGGATCTTATATGGGGAAATGGATCTTATATGGGAGCTATTGTCAATTACGGACCGTTTATGGAGGTTTTGGTTTCTATTGACATTAGATTTATATTTGCAAAGATTTTACGGTAATACCCAGCTTCTAGAATCCATTTTCGGGAGTAAATACTATATAAATTTGTTATATGGGAGCTATTGTCAATTACGGACCGTTTATGGAGGTTTTGGTTTCTATCGACATTAGATTTATATTTGCAAAGATTTTATGGTAATACCCAGCTTCTAGAATCCATTTTCGGGAGTAAATACTATATAAATTTGTATGGGAGCTATATGAAATTTTCAACCGGCGGTCATAATTTTCAACAATGATAATACCTGGACAAAAGAAAAGTCAAAAGAAAGGAAACCAAGAAAAACAAGCTGATTAAAAAGATGCATATGTATATTTTAGGTCGATTCGAAAAATATAAAAGAATGGACCTGAAATAGAATGTGATATACAAATAAAAACATCCAACTTCAGAAAAACATTAAAAATTAGTTTAAATTCCTTTATTTTAATTTAGAATTTTAATTGTTTTATTATTATTAATTATTTGATTAATTTATTAATATATCCAATTGGAGTTTAAAAAACTTCGAAATATAACAGTCATAACAAATAATACCCAATAAATATTATTGATATGAATGTGTAATAGATTTATTTTAAACTTTGGCAACTCTAGCCTTATCACAATGACAGCTGTCAACAATATGTACTAAAAATACTATGTACTAAACAGAAGAAAAAAAGTGTACCAACAACGCATTGTAAATAAAAGAAAATATAGAAAATTTATGAAAAAATCATAAATTTTCTTAAAAATCAATTTAATTAAATTTTTACAAAAAATATAACAAAATGAGTAATCCTGCAGCACCATTTGGTATACAAAGTACAGCTGGAGCTGTTCCCGTAAGAAATGAAAAAGGTTTGTAAAAGTTGATTGTAATTATGACAATGTGTTGGACAAAAATATGAAATTATAAATCATTTTTAGGCCAAATTTCTATGCAAAAGGTGAAGGTGCAGCGTTATATATCAGGCAAAAGACCAGATTATGCCAAATATGGTTCCAGTTCAGAAGACAGTGATTTAGAGGATTTTATAGACCATCGCCGCAAACAACAGGCCGCAGCCCATCATGAGAGACGTCAACGCAAAGATAAAGAAGATGAACACAGACGCTACGATGACGATCGACAAAATGAGGAACAGGAAGAAGAGGAAGCTGAAATTGACGATCCTCGTCTAAGACGTTTGCGGGCCAGACCTGTTGAACCTGATGAATTGGAAAGAGAACGTATGGAACGACATCGTCACATACACGAACCCGAGTTACTGGAAGAAAGTGATTCGGAAGATGAGCAGGAGGAACAACAACGTATGGTGGAAAAAGCCACCAATAAAATTACATTAGCCTCTGAATCGGACTCTGATTCCGATATAAGTGAAACTGAATTGGAAAACAGACGTACAAAATTGAGACAACGTATGTTGCAGCAACAAAAGGAAGAAGAGATTCTCCAGAAAGAGGAAGAAAAACAATCAGAATCTTCAGACTCTGAAAGTTCCGAATATGAAGAAGAAACTGAGAGTGAGGAGGATAATGAACCCAGATTGAAACCTTTATTTGTACGTAAAAAAGATCGTGCCACTATACAGGAAAAGGAGCGAGAAGCTCAAAAACAAAAGCAATTAGAAATAGAAGCAAAACGTTCGGCCAAAGAGAGAAGACGTAATACGTTGCGTCTGGTCGAGGAAAGTGTTAAGAAAGATTTGGAAAAGACTAAGGTAGTAAAAGAAAATGATTTAGATAGTTAATTTGTATTGAATGCTACTTATATTTTTAAGAATGACACGGCTGAACCTCACATTGAAGATGTTTGTACAGATGATGAAAATGATGAGGTCGAGTATGAAGCTTGGAAATTGAGAGAATTGAAACGTATGAAGCGTGATCGTGAGGAAAGAGAAAAGTAAGTTTTGTTTATACAGACTTAGATCCTAAGATTGTTTTGGTTAGGAAAACAAAGTCTGTTTATAGAAAAGAAATTAAAAGTTATGTTTATTCCCCTTAATTGGGAGGGTGTATGGGGATTGTACTGAAGTTTTAACGCCTTAAAATATTGGTGCAAACCCACCAATCGGCTTAGAATCATTTTCTGCATCGTCAAGCTAACTCTGATAAGCCAGCAGGACTCTAATGACTTTTGAAATGATAGTACATTATTTGGCCCTAGCCCTTATATTTAGTCCCCTTCAGAAAATGGCTTGAATGCCACAAAATGTATTTAAATATTTTATATAAATATGAATCGTTCTACCGCATTATATTTCGATCGGTTCATATTTAACCCTAGCACCCATATAAAGACTCTTTTAGACATTAACTTATGAAGTGAGAGGATGCGGTATGCTCAATTGATAGAATTCTATTCCTATAAAAAGACTAGAGCAACTCGAAAATCTCCAACAATGATTAACATTTCAGACATTTTATAATTTATGATTTCTAAATCTCTTTTTACAGTGCCGAACGTGAAATAGCCGAAATCGAACGTATGCGTAATCTCACCGACGAAGAGCGTCGCCAAGAATTACGACAGAATCCCAAACTTGTTACCAATAAAGCAGTTAAGGGTAAATATAAGTTCTTGCAGAAATACTATCATCGTGGTGCTTTCTATTTGGATGAAGAGAATGATGTACTGAAACGTGACTTTGCTCAAGCCACTTTAGAAGATCATTTCGATAAGACTATCTTACCCAAAGTTATGCAAGTTAAAAATTTCGGACGTTGTGGTCGTACCAAATATACACATTTAGTTGATCAAGATACCACAAAATTCGATTCACCCTGGTATGCTGAAACCTCCAATAATATCAAATTTCATAATGAACGTGCGGGCGGCATGAAACAAGTATTCGATAAACCTTCTTTATCAAAACGTAAGAAATTAGAGTAATTTCTCTTTGGAGTGGATATTTTTTTGTACGTATTAAGTTACTGTAGTTTAAATTATAAGGTAAATTACCTTTTTAATAAATATATATGATCTTTATTTTCATTTGTTTGAAATTTTATTTATAACACTTAAAAGATAGTTGTAGAAAAGAAAGACACCTGTTTGTTTTAAATATTACTTTAACAGTTGATGACCATTGCCTTTAAGGGTATGGACTATATAGAGAAGTTTAGTGGCAATTTGGTCAAAAAGTAGACAAATTTATTGTTTATATTTTTATTTGATTATGATTGATGACTTTTGTTGTAGGTTGTAAATTAAAATCCATTTTTTTCTCAAGATAACCAAATATTTTTGTTAAGATTAGCTAGTTAATTTAACTAGTAGTACAATCGTCACTGCTAATTTCTGTTTGGACTGAAATTTAACAAACTTAATGACGGAGCGGTTAGAAGTTGTTTGAACTGGTAAGATGTGGAAAGGTAAATATAATATTTTTAATAATTGTACACATTTTACATTATCTGTTGCTTTTTAGATTCTTTAAAGTTGATAATAACGCTAGTAACTCTTTACTAATGAGATTAATTTTGCAAATATTTGTATACAGTAAATACAGAAAATAACACACTCATAAATTCGTAGGATAAAGGTTTATAGAACAATAGGTTTATAGAACAATTTTGTATCTTATAAGTGATTAGACCCCTTATTTCAAGTCTCTTGATATTCAAAATATCTTTCTTTTTTTGTAATAAATATATAATAGTTTCTTTTATTATAAATATAAAATACCCAAAAAGAAAACCTTAACTTAAAACTATAAATTAAAAAGCCAAACCTAAATACTCACGACATACCGGATTTTCCGTATAGTATTGTTTAAACTTGCAAGCATACTTATTACGTTCTGCCACAAAGCCAAAGTTGTTAAATGTTTTCGAAATATAAGCGTACACATCCAGAACTTTGGCATGAGCTTCCAATTTACGAAATAGTTCTACAGCTCTCTCCAAAATACCCAGAGATTTAACTAAACGTTTGTGCTGCTGTTCACGATCCCTACCGGCTGCTACGAGACAACGTACAAATGTAAAATCAGTTTTAGCACGATCGTAAATACCACCATTAATGTAAATTTTATCCATGGAATTACGTAGAGCTTGTAATGCTTTTTGCGGCAAACCCATTTGCAATAGTACTTGTGCAATAATAGTATCGATGAGAGCATGTTCATATTGCATATAGGCAGATTCGGAGAGTACAGAGGCCTGCATTAAAAGTTCTATAGTTTCGGCGGAAACATTATTTTCAGACAAACTATTGTAGGCTAATAGTATTAAGACGCGTATTTGCCTTAAAACATCCAACTCCTTATTGCCCAGCAAATGTTGTAAAATTCCTCGAGCAGTATTGTTATAACCTTTAGCTATATAAACAGAAGCTCTTTGTATGTTGCCATCATGTTTATCCAGCAAATACAGTTGACAGCACCAGCGTAAAGCCTCCTGCCAACGACCCCGATACATGGCCTGCTGTATGGAAATATGACACTCGCTAGTCATCCAATCGCCTGCAAAAGGATGACGAGGAAATCTGGTGCGTGCATGATGTATTAAAACAGCACTTAGCTGGTATTCACCTTGTGTATTAAACCAAAGAGCAAGATTCGATAGCACCTTGCTCACACTCTCCGAATTGCTGACATCACCAAAAACCCAAGTCTTTTTTAAATTCAGTAATAGTTGTGAATACAAAGCCGACATTTCATAACGACCATATAAAACCCACAAAGTAGTTCGTAAAGCCAGAGAATCGGATATATGCTCCAGCAGAGAGTTCTTGTTATTTAGTTCATCACTTTTCAATAGTAATTCGAACAAATCCAAAGGTAAATAACCACATTTGGCACCAAAAGCCACCACAAATTCAATAGCCAATGACAAACTCTGTATAAGACCAGGATCTTGTATATCGGGTAAGCTTTTTTCAAAGGGTCCTATGCGACTGCTGTTCAAAAGACAATACCAAGAATTGGCCAAATCTAGGCAACGTTTATCCCCACATTCCTGAGCCAACATGATACATTCCCTTAAAGCACTTAAAGCTTCTTTCTTATGATTAAAACTTGCATGCAGAATGGCTAAATTAACACTGAAATATTGAAATCCCTTCTGTTCATATTGACCCATCATATGCATGGGACTGCGATCAAAAGAACGATGTAGAGCATCTATCGAACCGAAGACATCACGCAAACGCAGTTGATTCATATAGCCCAGAAAGTAGGATTTGGCATTGAGCGGATTATCTTGTATTATTTCGTTTAGTTTGGTTTGCATTTCCAACGGTGGCAATGCTCGCAACTCATTTTTTTCCAGCAAATTACATTGTTGTGTGACAAACAGTTGAGCCTGTTTGGGAGACCATTTACTGTGAGGATTGCGATCTTGATGCACCGTTTCGGTATCGAGCACAGATTCTTCCATGGTATTGTCATCATCGGTATCATTGGTGGCCGTGTGACTATCAAGCATATTTCCGCGCATCAATTTGCGGGGACCAATAGTAAGGGAACGAATGCCTGTCAAAAATATTAGAGAAAATGTTTAATAGTATTTTTTTTCTATTCCATGCCGTTTTGCCAATCTATTCGTACTACTAAATCTCGTTTTCCAATTATAACTTCACTGAACTCACCCTTTTCATAATACAAACAGATATTTTTATGCAAAGCCATCATCTGAGGAAATGACAGACGTTCCAGAATAACTCCAACACGTCTTATATACAATCCCACCAAGCTAAACTGGCTCACCCCCAATTGTTCGGCTAACATTTTTTCAATATTCTCCATTTCAGCAAAATCAAATAATGTCTCAATGCCCAATGAAAACAAATCAGACATAACCTTTTCAAAACCTTCCAAATGTAAAGGATCTATTTTGTATTTGGTGGAGCACAACAATTGGTACAAATCATTGTAGGTCATATCCGGATATTGTATCAATTTCAAGAGAAGCATGCAGAAATTCCGTCGCGATTGGGCGGGATAAGGTATGCCAGCATCATTGGCCGCCTTTTTAGCCTGTAGTATGAAGGAAAATCATAAAAAGATGAATTGCATTTGTTATTTAATTGAGAATAACTCACCTTGATGTATTGTTGCACCAATATTAACACTGCCACTTTGTGTGGTGTTGGAGTTTCTATACGCGATAATGTGGGATTTCGAGGATCTAATGCTTCTAATTCCTCAAAATGCATTTTGAAGTTTTGTTTTCTTGAAATATTAAATTATTATTATAAACAAAAAACGCCGGCAAAAATTGAATACAAATTGCAAATTATTTGAATTTGCCAACAGGGATGATTGGAATGGAACTGACAGCTGTTTTTTGCAAAACAAATACAGAGTTGCTAGAAAGAGTTGCCACTGTTTGTATTGCATTATCGGGACGTAAGTAAGGTGTTATTGTATATTCTAAGCTTGGCATAAATATAATATTCTAATTATGCCATGATTCGTGGATTCAAATTCTATTAAAAATTTATATAAACATTCCAAGAACTAATGTAATACATTACGCTATATTGGAATATTAAGATCAGTTTAAATTTAGACTAGACTGTAGTTTTGAGTTTAAACTTCACATTGTAACATATTTTAGGATAAACTAGTCTATACATTATTATAGACTTTGGACTAGACTTTTATAGTCCAGACTAAATTCTAGACTTAAGAAGTGCTTTTAGTCTTTGGACAAAATTATACGTTGGACTTTGGATCATATTATAATCTGGACTAATTCAAACTTTGGAATAAATAATAGCCTTTGGAATATATTATAATATGGACTTTGGTCTATACTATAGTCTTGAATGTGAACTAGACTGAAGTCTTAACTTTTGAAAGCCTAGATTTCGGACGTTAAACAAAATTACATTATAGATTTTGTACTATAGACTGGACCGAATACTATAAAAACCCCTATAACATCGATTTTTTTCTTGTCGAATTTGTTCCTTTTATTTTTTTTTATAAATTAAAATCAAACTTTACCAAGCTCAATATAAAAACACCGATTATAATATTATATTTTTTATATAAAAAATCTCTAGAAATATTTAGATTGATGGTTCTAATATTTCCCATATAATCATCTTGTGGAAATTTTTTTCGATACATTTCTCGAGCCTTTTATAATGGAATTCACATATTTGCTTTAGTCACAATCAAAACAGCCGATGGCACTAAACCCAAAACACTTAAAGGTTTCTCATAGTCATCGTAATCGAAGACCTTGCGAGGAAACGAAGTCATTAGACCAAATGGCATATCACTGCCAGTTTTCATTTGTATGAACAAACGTACGGCCGACAGATTTTCATTGATGCTAAAGGTTTCGGTAAGAGCAGAACCATCCTGTAAACGAATTTGTATGCGTGTCTCTTTGTACTCCTTAGGGGGAGATTTGACGGCAGTGGCAGTGGGCGGTGTAGTAGAAGTTACCGCGGCTGAAACTACTGGAGCCTCGGCTGTAGGCGATTGTTGTTGGCTCAACTTGCGACGTGCCTTATCTGCCTCAATTTGAGCTCGCACTCTATCACGGGCTGCTTTTTCCTCGGCCTTCTCCCTTTTGCGTTGTTCTACAATTTTTTTCATTTCCATTTCTTCTAAACGTTTGCGAGCCTCTGTCATGTCTTTGCCGGATTTGATGCGATTACGTTCTCTTTCTAAAGCTTCTTGCTTTTCCCTTTCTTCGCGTTCCAGACGTTTTAGTTTCAGTTTCTCTTCAATAAGAGCCAATTGCTGTTTTTTCTCTTCCTCGGTCAAAGGTTTCTTTTCCTCAGTGGATTCGGAAAAATTACTATGCCCGGTCTTGGCAGCATGAAATTCAACTTCTGATTGATCTTTGCACAGTTTACCGCAATCATCACATTTCAAAGATTTGGCCACGCCACCCTCCTCTGTGGTATTCGAAGTTGAGGGTGCTTCGGTATTTGCGGGAGAAGCCGGCTCTCCTACGGCACTACCAGCCGCCTCTTTAGGTATCTCTTCATCTGCATGAGCCAGCAACCATTCCATAGCCGGTTCTACACCTTTATAATTTGTAGCCTTTATGGCGTATTCACTAAATTTGCGAAAAAAGTTTAAATTGGGATTCACAAAAATTACAACCGGCATAATGTTATCGGCCTTTATTACTTACGCTCTTTCTTTGGGAAAACCCATTTCCATTAACATTTGGACATCACCCATTGTTACTTGAGATAAAATGTATGCGATATTAATTTTTTGTAATGAAATTCTATATCTTTTTACACGATTTTGTTTTGATAGAATAAACAAAAAAATCGCAATGTCTCAAAATAAAGATGACTTCTGAGGTGAATTCACATAAGGTGGTGTAAGTCAATCAGCAAATTATTCTTTTTTCACTTGACTGGTACGCACTAATGTCAGAGTTTGTTATTGTTAGCATTTTTATATTTACAAATTTATGTTTTTTTAATTATTTATCATAATAATGTTATTTATGTAAAAAAAAATGAAAATATCAAGCATTTTATAAACAACTACATTTAAAAAAAAAAAATAAATTTTACATAATTTCAGGCACAGACTTATGTTTCTAAAATTAATCTGCCGAAATAGAATTTTTCATTTATAACAAACATTATTCCATGTAGGATATATTTTCTTTTCAAATTTTATAATTTTTATAATTATTTCTTATAAAATATAAACATTTTTCATGAAACGAATTCGCCATACTTATTGTTTTTAACATCTACGTGAACCAAATGCAAAAACAAAATACATGGAATTGTTGTTGTGGCCGAACTGCCACCACCTTATGTGAATTCGCCTTGGATGACTTCTTGAATTTTGTGATGGTGTTACCAGAATGTGTTAATTACACAAAAGACTGACGGATTCATCGTCGCACAGCCTAAACGATTGAATCTAAAGAGCTGAAATTTGGACAGGAGGTTGGTCTCCCACCAAACAGATCCATTTTTGGAAATTCGAATGTTTAGGGGATAAAAACGGTAAATTCGGTAACCTCATATCTCCTAAACTAGAAAAGATACAAAAACAGTTTAAAGCTTATCGTCGTTCATTTAAAAAATAAGCGGACAGGTGTCTGGTACTTTTTTCAAATTCGGCCCCTTTAGGGAATAAAGGGGTAAAAACAGTATTTTGGTATTTTTTTGCATCCCATGTATCTTTTAAACCAGTGAACATTCAAACAATATTGTTGACTTCTTCATAACTTGACGAAAAAATAAAAATATGAATTTAGTACTTTTTGGTTATTCGTTTTAAGGGGTGAAAATTGTACCTATTTTTGGTACTTTTTTCATAAAACATTGTTTTTGGTTTATTAACTTATACATACATATGAATACATAATAACGGCGTCCAACTTTGCAACTTTTGGAATAGAATTTTTGTTTCGTAAATAAGGAGAAAAAAATTACCAAAAGGGGTAAAAATGGGAAATTTGATTTTATTCAAATACAATGATCCAATTTGTGCTAAAGGGGTGTTATTTGGAACCCCGGTACCAAGTGACATTTTTTTGTACTTTTTCATTCTCCAACTGGTACTTTTTGAGATTTTTATGATATTGGAATCGAAACATGAAATTAATAATAGACTTTTCGGTACTTTTTCGTTCTACACAAGTACTTTTTGAGTTTTCTTTAAAATTAAACATGAAATTATGCATGTAGAGCCCGGACTAAATGAGGATCTATAAAATGAGACTTTTTGGTACTTTTTTGTTCTTCGACTGGTATTTTTTGAGTTTTCTATAAAAATTTAACCTATAAACATGATATTAAGTATTTAAAGCCCCAAGTAAATGAGAATCTTTACTTATGGTGCTTTATCGTACTTCGACTGGTACTTTTTAAGCTTTCTATAAAATTAAACCTTGAAACATAAAAATAAATATCGATACCCTGTATTCAAAAAGTGCTAAATCAATAATGTCTAGTTTTCAGGAAAGCAAAAAAAACTATTTAATTCGTGAAATATTGCATTAAAAGACAATATTTCTTCCATAATATGTTTTCAACATCCTTACTAATTCTTACCTATGAACAAATTTTAATATTTTGCACATTTTAGCTTCTTATTTAAGATAGCACTTTTTGGTCGACAAAAAAACAAACATTTGTTCTAAGTTGGCATGTTTTGTTCAAAGAATAGAACAAAAATTTCTTCTAATAATATGCGTTATTTTATAATTTTATGAAATGTTTTTTTTAAGGATATAAGTCAAACCAGTAAGTCCAATAAGATGCATTTACACCATTTAAGTAGAAAAACTCATGGCATATCTGCTTGTTTACTATTCCTTATTCTCAGTACAAATATTTTAAATTATGAAAAGTTTTTTAATATAAAAAGTACCAATATTTTTTGAATAATACTCCATAATTTGCACATTTAAAGACTTTTTTATAATCAAAATTCTAAATTGGAACCATCGAATATTATAGATCTTAGTGTTATAAACGATTTCTGAAATAACTTTACATTTTTCGGAAAAACATTATTTAAAGTCTAAAACTGGCTTTATATACAAATATATAAATGATCATATCTTAAAAACTATACATTCAATTTATTAATATTCACCTGTTTTGTGTTCAGCATGTTCATCTTGTTAATATACAAAATAAATTTGAAGTTTTAAAAAATTTTGTAAAATTTGTATGGAAGTTAGCACTTATTTTCTTCAATAAAAATTTAACTTTGAGGTAGCATATTAACAAAAATTGTTGTTAAAAGTGCAAAAATTACTTTTTTGGTTTCAAATTTATACCAGACGTGGATCATGCATTGAGGAATCCTTTTGCATCAAAAACTTACTTTGCCCAAAATTGAGTTCGCACTTTTTGAATATAGGGTCACGATATGTAGAGCCCGGGGTAAATTAGAATCTATAAAAGGGGCGCCCTTTGGTAATTTTTCGTTCTTCAAATGGTACTTTTTGAGTTTTCTATTATAATGAACCTAGAAACATAAAACTAAGCAATCAGAGACTTGAGAGAATGAAATTTTAAACTGGAATATTTTATGGTACCTTTTCGTTCTTTAACTGGTACTTTTTGAATTTTCTATAATATTGAACCTAAAATTGGACACGCAGCTTGCTGATTGTATAAAAATCTGTATGCGTGGAATTTCTGATTTAATAATAATCTATAAAAAGGCACTGTCTGGTACTTTATCGTTCTTCAACTGTTTTTTTTCTGCAATATTGAGACTAGAAACATAAAATCAAACTTATAGAGTTCTCTAAAAGGGGGACTTTTTGATATTGCATTTTATTCCATTACGATGAGGGTAGCGAAGCACACTGGGTA